GAGAGAGCGGGAGAGAGCGCGCGCGAGAGAGAGAGAGAGAGAGAGAGAGAGAGAGAGAGAGAGAGAGAGAGAGAGAGAGAGAGAGAGAGAGAGAGAGCCAGAGAAAGAGAGAGAGAGAGAGAGAGAGAGAGAGAGAGAGAAAGAGAGAGAAAGAGAGAGAGAGAGAGAGAGAGAGAGAGAGAGAGAGAGAGAGAGAGAGAGAGAGAGAGAGAGAGAGAGAGAGAGAGAGAGGGAGGGAGAGAGAGGTTGCGAAATTGTTAAAGTAAAATAAAAGGAACATTGAAAATATGAGATGATTGGTGAGGTGACTGCAGCCTCAGCTATTTGGCCAGCAAAGTCATAATTGTTACAGTAGGCCAGCTATTACATGAACAAGGGAGCTACTGTGCCGCAACATAGAGCGAGGGAGACTATATAAGCTGGCGAAAAAACTTCAATAAAGACACTGTCTCAGATGCGGTGTGTGCACTACGGCTGAGGTGGGTGTGGGAGGTCTGCTCGAGGCTCTCAGTCGCCCAGCTCCAGTGGTGCAGCTGGAGGTGACGGTGGACACGGCACTTAAAGGCTTGCAGGCCCTCCAGGTGTGGGGGTCTCAGCAGTATGCTTTGGGGCAGAGCATTCCATGTCTGCACAGCGCTGGCAGGAAATGCGCGAAGACAGCTGTTTCGGGTGCGTGCTGGCAGGTTAGTCGATAGCTGGTGTGGGTGCGTAGGCTGAGCAGACACGCGGGTGGGCTGTATGTCCCGAGGTCGACGTTGGGCACCAGGGGGGAGGATCTTCTTTAGCGGGCTGTCCGCATCTAGGCAGAATAGCTTGTACAAGTATGCAAGCGAGGCCACTGTTCGCCGCAGAGATAGCCTAGGGAGCCAGGAGCCCGATCCGATGATGTGATGTACTCATACATGTACTCATGTACTCAGGCATGCAGTCTCACTCGTATTTTAGCTCTTTTTCTGGAATGGATGCTGCTCTGCGCCCCTTGGTGAACATTTCCTGCGTTCGTGGAGCAGCTGAAAAGGACCACTGGTATGTCTGGTTCCTGGTTTGAAAGTGGAGAGTCGACTTTTGTGCCTTCAAAAAGGAGTAGAGAGCGATAGAGGTACGTCTGTTGCTTATTTTTGAGTGCTCCTCGTACATTTTTGATCGTGATAGAAATTCTCAGACCAAAGTCAGACCAAAGTCAGCGCGATGATGGCTGTACAGTTTTCTTGTGGATTTTTTAGTTGTTTCATCTCGTATCTATGTCAGTATCGTGATGGTGAAGTGGAGAGGGTGATTTTCTTCCTCTAGGCTTCGTTCGGCCGACTTTGCTTCGTCCTCGTTGAAAAGTGATCCTGAAAAAAGGTCGATTCGAAAAATTATGTTGATTTTCAATGTACGTGATGACATGCGATTGCTGGCTATGACACCCAACACTGTACATCATGTGTTGACTACGCGTATACCCAACACTGTACATCATGTATTGACTACGAGTACACCCAACACTGTACATCATGTGTTGACTACGAGTACACCCAACACTTTACATCATGTGTTGACTACGAGTTCACCCAACACTGTGCATCATGTATTGACTACGAGTACACCCAACACTGTACATCATGTGTTGACTACGAGTACACCCAACACTGTACATCATGTATTGACTACGAATACACCCAACACTATACATCATGTGTTGACTACGAGTACACCCAACACTGCACATCATGTGTTGACTATGAGTACACCCAACACTGTACATCATGTGTTGACTACGAGTACACCCAACACTGTACATCATGTATTGACTACGAGTACACCCAACACTGTACACCATATGTTGACTACGAGTACCAGCGGCGGATCCAGAGTTCAGCTGAGTCGAGGGGGCGGGTAATATTCATGACAGGGAACCCATGCGGTACATGTATTTTGTACACATTACGACATAGCGGCTATTTTACGTCATAGGCTTAGCGGTTATGTAGAATTTCTATTTTAGCACATGCACACACTCCCACTTTTTCAACCACTTCATTGAGGACTCTGGCTGTAGTAGAACATAGCCGTTCTACATTGAATTGTGTAAAGAATCATAGTGCCTAGAAGCTGAAGACGAGATCGAGAACAATGGCAAAATAATAAAATATACGATTACTTGGATGGCCATGTCCAGCAGTAAGAATGGAGTGGAAATACATTAGCAAGAAAACAATCGTAGTGTGAGCATTGGGTTCGTTTTCAGCATTTATATACACAAGCATAATAATTATGTCTACAGCAAATATTGGCATGTAACGTGTTATGTACAATCATGTGACACAAGTCAGAATGAACGAACAGCCAATCAAGCAACTTCCGGTGCAGTCGGGTCTGACAGCAGGAAGCGACGGGGTTTGGCTTTAGCGAACCTGTCCAGCACCCGCTCATGGTCGATCGGAATGGCCTTGTGAACATACAGCAGTACAAGCGCATTCAACCGCTCCTGTGACATGGAGTTGTGCAAGTCCGTCTTGATGATCTTGAGTGCAGAGTTGCTGCGCTCAACGGTTGCCGTTGTCACAGGCACGACGAGCAGGAGGTGGAGGATCCGGGTGATGTTGGGGTACGCTGTGGGGTTGACTGCGTCCAACAACGTTGTGATGGTTTCTGGTGCCACCACAACGCCTTCCCACTTCTTCTTCCACCGCCGCAACTCAACGCCGAAGTAAGTAGAATCCGGCAAGTCGGGGGAAAAGGTGTCCAGGATCGACTGCTGCTGCTGGCTCGTGATGGACTGGACAGATCCAGGGAGAAGCAGAAGTCCTTGCACTGCGGCTGTTGCTATGGCGCTGAATCTGCTATTGAGCTGCTCGATCAGGCTATCCACGAATGGAACAAACACAGCTCTTCTCCAGTATATCTCGAGCGTCGGCGCTGGTGTATTGTTGCGTAGCGTTTGACGTGACACCAAGCGCGGAAGCTCTGGATGAGCATGGCCAAAGAGGGAGGTCAGCTCGCTGGCAGCTGCGTAGATCGTCGCAAACTCGACATCACTGTTGATGCGAACATCCTGCAGCAGCTCCTTTGCACTGGTGATCTCACTGTAGGCTGTGAGGATGTCTATGTGCGATCCTTGCAATAGAACGCTCAGGCACTTCGTGAAGCCAAAGAGAAAGATGTTGCAGCTCAGAGCGACGAGGAATGCGTCTGAAGTCACAGCCCGAAGTAAACCATTCGCCTCCGTCACTGACTTGCCGTCGTACGTCACATTGCTGGCCGTGGCGACCTGGCCGGAGATCACCTGCAGACAGTGGACGACAGCGGGGTACAGCTCTCTAAAGTCCGTCAGAGCAGTGTGCCGTTCAACCCACCGGGTCTCACATAATAGCTTCAGTTTCTGGGCTCTGATGGGAGGTTGGTTTGCCGCCTTGCGCTTCGCATTCTCAGCCTCCATACTTGCTTCCATGGTGCGCTGACGCTTCGGAGAATACTTGAAGAACACGCCAAGAGCCTTCAGATCAGAGAGCATGCACTGAATCTCACGGACAGCACATGACTTCGTGAGAGCTTAGTTGAGTTGGTGGCTGCTGCAGTGGAAATAGTGGGCAAGCGGCACCTGATCCCTGAAGAGCTTCTGGCATCCGTTGAGGTAGCCGGCCATGGCTCCAGCTCCATCGTATCCCTGCGCTCGGCAATTGGCCTCGTCCACGCCAATGTTATTCAATGCTGTCCGAATCTCTGAGCAGAGTGCAGAACCGGTGCAGGACGTACAGGCGACGAATTGAACAAGCTTCTCGACGGGCGTGTTGTCCTTGACATACCGTAGCGAGAGGCCAAGCTGCTCCCAGCCACTAACGTCCGAGACCTCGTCGGCTTGTATGGCGAAGTAGTGGCTGGCTTTCACGTCTGTAACAATCGTAGCGAGCAGTTCTTCGGCCATGCACGCAAGGAGCTCGTTCTTAGTCGTCTTGGACATGTACGTTGCATTCTTTGCACAGCGATCCAGGTGTTCCTTCAGAACAGAGTTTCCTGACTGAACGGCGAAGTTGACAAGGGCCAGGAAATTGCCTTGTGGATTATCATGCACTCCAAAATCATCGCGGTGACCCCGTAGTGCGAGACCCTGACGAGCCGCAAAATCCAGACATCGCAGAACAGATCTGAGAATGCCTCTGTTAGCTGCAATCCGTTCTGCTGCAGCGTGGGACTGCATGAAGTCCACTCTCGTTGATCGCCGTGTGTCAGTTGCCAGGAAGGCAATCATTCTGGCAACGGCATCCTTATGGTACTGGACGGCCTCGTGGTCCGCTGCTTCACCGCACGTGTGCTTGAAGTCACTATGTACCTTGCTGATGAAGTATTCACCTCTGGTTGATCCTTGTCGATGCAATGTGGGAAACAGGACGCACGGCGCACAAAAAAACGCCTTCCTCGCCAGCCTTTCCGGAATAGGCAGGCCACTGAAACCTGTCAAACCACTTCAGTAGCAGCGAGCGAGTGGAAGTACCGGTCTTTCGGCGGCTGTCGGGATAATCCCTAGATGGCAACACCGTCTGCTTATCAGGCTTCTGGATCCCAAGTATGTTGCGCTTTTCTGCATCGCTGAGAGATGCACCGCCAATAGCTGCAGCAACAGCATCTGAGTAACTTCGCTGCGTAGCACTGCCACCAGCCACATTCGTGACAGTCACAACGTCGTCATCTGGGATTGTTTGAACAGGTAAACGCTCCTGACTCGCATCACTACTACTGACAGTCCCACCATCGTCGTCAGAATCTACTTCGGATAATTCCATTTGGGGAAGATCACAGCCTGAGCAGACCTCGATCTCAGGATCTTCGCGGTGGTCCGAATTCTCCTCCAAAGAAGGATCGCTCGGCTGAGCAGCTGACGAAGCGCAAGTTCGCTTCGCGAAAAATCCGTAGAGAGTTTGTTGGCTCCCTAGCCGCTTGGGCGGGCGGTGCGCCATCCCCTTCACCGACTGAGCTATACAGGTTCGTCAACTGAACACTTATTTCAAAACTAAAACTCAACCAAAGTCTAAGATGAAGAAAGGAAAAGATCAAAATGTTACGAGTTATGACATACTGTCCACCAACGTAACCAGATCTTATACAGTCATTTTTGAGGGGAGGGCGCGCGCCCACTGCGCCCTCCCCTAGATCCGCCTCTGAGTACACCCAACACTGTACATCATGTGTTGACTACGAGTACACCCAACACTGTACATCATGTGTTGACTACGAGTGCACCCAACACTGTACATCATGTGTTGACTACGAGTACACCCAACACTGTACATCATGTGTTGACTACGAGTATAGCCAACGCTGTACATCATGTGTTGACTATGAGTACACCCAACACTGTACATCATGTGTTGACTACGAGTACACTCAACACTGTACATCATGTGTTGACTACGAGTACACCCAACACTGTACATCATGTGTTGACTACGAGTACACCCAACACTGTAGAGGGGACGGCTCGATACCGGGACGTTTTGACAGCCAAATTTGTATAGACCCAAACCGATCATCAGCGTTGATTTTTCACTCGAAATATGTTTGTGGAAGGAAACTGGCATGTTGAAGTTTGCTCTGGGGCCAGAGTCAATCGAACTGAGCCACTCCTTTGTGTTGACCCATTGCCTCCAAGTTGCCCAATTTTTCGCTTCAAAAAAGTTCAAATCAGAGGTGGCTCCAAACCGGACACGTTTTAGAGAGCACGTCAAATTCACTCTGGGGTCTGAAATTAGGTAATTGCTATCGCTCCACGACGGCCAGTACAGAGTAACGATAAGCCTTGTGTGTGCTTCCATTAGTTTTGATTGGTATGCGGTGCTTTACTGGCGAGAGGCGAGCCGCTGTTTACCTGCGACAAGAAGTTGATTTTTCGAAAGTCGTAAAACTCAAGTCGCAGTGCGAAGCAACACGTCAAAAACTCACCAGCTTGATATGGCGCTTCTGGTCATCGCAGAGCCATGAAATTTTGGCTCGGAGTATAACACATCGTAGTCTGTTGTTGTTGTTGTTGATTTTTATTTTGCTTCGCAAGGCCAAACGGGCAATGGTGCCCAATTCTATGGAAGCGAATTTCAAAAGGGAGAGAGCTACGGGGAGAGAGAGAGAGAGAGAGAGAGAGAGAGAGAGAGGGGGGAGGGAGGGAGATGATAAGCAATTTTGTAGCGTCAGCAGAGCGATTTTGCAGTGTCAATAGAGCGATTTTGAAGCGTCAACAGAGGGAACACAAAGAGTTCATAAGCGCACAAGCACGCAGAGAAGAGTAAATGACGTGGTGTGTGGACGGGAAAAGTCAGACAGAGCATTCATTGCAAGGTGTAGGGGATGGAGGCAAGCTTAAATTGCTGGGCAGCCTTGATCTCCCTTACACTCCTTGGGAGAGCGTTCCAGGCCAAGGCTGCCTGAAAGGCCAGGCAAGATCTGCCGGCCTCTGACTGTGTCGAGGGAACAGTGAGGCCCCTGGAAACCTGGTGCCGGGTGGTGCTGCCAGCTGATGGTGAGAATAGGTCCTGGAGGACACTGCTGGCTTTCCCATTGACACAGCGCCACACCAGGACGAGCCGCTTCTGTCTCACTGTGACATATGTTTTCTAATCAAAATACCAAGAGAGAAAGTGAATATTGAGTCCGTTCCGGTTTGCAACCGGTGTCCTATTTGAAACCGTCCCCTCTACATCATGTGTTGACTACGAGTACACCCAACACTGTACATCATGTATTGACTACGAGTACACCCAACACTGTACATCATGTGTTGACTATGAGTACACCCAACACTGTACATCATGTGTTGACTACGAGTATACCAAACACTGTACATCATGTATTGACTACGAGTACACCCAACACTGTACATCATGTGTTGACAAAGAGTACACCCAACACTGTACATCATGTGTTGACTACGAGTACACCCAACACTGTACATCATGTGTTGACTACGAGTACACCCAACACTGTACATCATGTATTGACTATGAGTACACCCAACACTGTACATCATGTGTTGACTCCGAGTACACCCAACACTGTACATCATGTATTGACTATGAGTACACCCAACACTGTACATCATGTGTTGACTACGAGTACACCCAACACTGTACATTATGTGTTGACTACGAGTACACCCAACACTGTACATCATGTATTGACTATGAGTACACCCAACACTGTACATCATGTGTTGACTACGAGTAATCCCAACACTGAACATCATGTGTTGACTACGAGTACACCCAACACTGTACATCATGTATTGACTACGAGTACACCCAACACTGTACATCATGTGTTGACAACGAGTATACCCAATACTGTACATCATGTGTTGACTACGAATACACCCAACACTGTACATCATGTATTGACTACGAGTACACCCAACACTGTACATCATGTGTTGACTATGAGTACACCCAACGCTGTACATCATGTGTTGACTACGAGTACACCCAACACTGTACATCATGTGTTGACTACGAGTACACCCAACACTGTACATCATGTGTTGACTACGAGTACACCCAACACTGTACATCATGTGTTGACTACGAGTACACCCAACACTGTACATCATGTGTTGACTACGAGTACACCCAACACTGTACATCATGTGTTGACTACGAGTACACCCAACACTGTACATCATGTGTTGACTACGAGTACACCCAACACTGTACATCATGTGTTGACTACGAGTACACCCAACACTGTACATCATGTGTTGACTACGAGTATACCCAACACTGTTCATCATGTCTTGACTACGAGTACACCCAACACTGTACATCATGTGTTGACTACGAGTACACCCAACACTGTACATCATGTGTTGACTACGAGTACACCCAACACTGTACATCAGGTGTTGACTACGAGTACACCCAACACTGTACATTATGTGTTGACTACGAGTATACCCAACATTGTACATCATGTGTTGACTATGAGTACACCCAACACTGTACATCATGTGTTGACTACGAGTAATCCCAACACTGAACATCATGTGTTGACTACGAGTACACCCAACACTGTACATCATGTATTGACTACGAGTACACCCAACACTGTACATCATGTATTGACTATGAGTACACCCAACACTGTACATCATGTGTTGACTACGAGTAATCCCAACACTGAACATCATGTGTTGACTACGAGTACACCCAACACTGTACATCATGTATTGACTACGAGTACACCCAACACTGTACATCATGTGTTGACTACGAGTACACTCAACACTGTACATCATGTGTTGACAACGAGTATACCCAATACTGTACATTAGCGAGATTTAGTCCCGCCTAACGGATATGGGAATGTGGGTGATACACTTATAGTTCATGCAATGGAGCTAAGTTCTCAATGTTGTCTTTAGTCACACGGAACAAACAAAAGGGTGAAGCGAAAGGCCGAACTTGGTCAAATACAAAGCTTCGAAGCTCATCGAATATTTTGATTTCGTGCTTCGGAAACTTCTTCAGCTGAGTACCCTCACAGTTTGCGCGATGCGCTCCATTCTGATTTTCACCCACGTTCTGGAGGAACATATGTCATGAACCAGAAAATGTCTGTACGTGGGTCACTGAGTATCACGTGGTACACACACGTAAAGTACACACGGATAACGTGGGACTAAACCTCCCTATTATGTGTTGACTATGGCTGTAAGGCATCACAGTTTGGATGGTCCATGTTCTATCATGACACATATACAAAAGTTAAGAACACTTCGATTCCGACCGTGGTTTGTTTATTATGCATGTGTGTTTTGTTTTATTCTGCAGACTGATGCGCTATTCTATAAAAGAAAAGTGGACTGTATCGTCATGATGTAAGTACAACAATATGCACCAAACACTGTACATCATGTGTTGACTATGTGTCGTAATGTCACAGTGTTTTGAACTGTGTATTAGCATGTCACTGGGCTGTACTTCAAGTTTTAGCTGCCCCTCTGGCTCTACAACATAGGGGCATGGTGGCATGGTATCATAGTGGCATGGTATCATAGCGTCATGGTATCATGGTATCATGGTATCATGGTTTCATGGTATCATGGTGTCATGGTGTTATGGTGTCATTGTGTCATGGTGTCATTGTGTTATGGTGTCATTGTGTTATGGTGTCATTGTGTCATGGTGTCATTGTTGCATGGTATCATGGTGGCATATTGGCATAGGGGCATGGTATCGTAGCGTCATGGTGTCATGGTGTCATGGTGTCATGGTGTCATGGTGTTATAATACGGAGCATCGGCAAATCGAATTTTCGAGTGAAATTCCAGAATCATCACGACAGGTACTCAAAGTGTCGAAAATAGGGCTTTGTTCGACTGATAAAGACCCGCGAATCGAAAAGTAGTTTCGAAGGTACCTCGCTCGTTCCAGGCCATGTAATGGAGCAGTGGTCTTGCACAGAGCTCCAGTACATGATGGAGCGGTACTCTCCTGCACAATTCCCTAACAACCAAACGCAATGTAGGAAACAAGGGTTGGTGGAAGCTTGATGATTTCCACTGGCACAAAAGCAGATTCTTGCAATATTGCGATTGGACACATTAATGCAGGTTGAATGGACTTTGGAGTGCACTGCAACTGTGCAACGTTTCACACAACGTTTTGGCCCTGCCAAATTTCCCACTCCTTTGGAGTGGGATTGAAATGTGTCACACAGGATTTGGTTGTACTTTTAGGTAACTGGTGTGCAAAACATTCACAACAATGCCATGCCCATTACTGTGCATTACTCTACCCACCTGACTCCTAGATTCGGTTTGTTGTTTAACCCTTTGCCGGTCTAACTCAATGTATGCGAGGGGTGGTCACGCAAATACATGTACACACAACCAGCAATAACTCAAGAACCATGTGATGTAGGTATGGGTAAACCATATATTTTCAAAATCTGTATGCCTGAACGCGTCCAGAAA